CCCCCACCCCCCGCATCTTTGATCCCAAGTGGAAAATTTAGTCCCCGGGGAACTGATATGACTGAGACCAAGTGGCGAAGGGATGGACTCATGGAGGACCAGTGGGAAGAGGAAGGATTAAAATGAGTGAAATGCAGCCCGTGACAAGCCAACTGGCCGGTCCAATTAAGCAAGATGAAGCATTTCCGCTGGTTAGAGGGGAAAAAAAACTCCACCACTTGGACATTTTGAGTATCTGCTGAGGTTAAAGTCTGAGTCAGATCACCAAGGCTTTTAAAATAACAAAGTCTGGATCAGACTGACCTTATTGTGGACCTGCAGATCAGACGAGTTAAACTCTTATTGGGTAACACACATTTGCCTTTTCCCTCGTTCCTGTCAGTTCTTTTATTGTTGAGCTGGACAAAATATGTAAAACGAAGCAGGCGTGTTGCCTCTCTTGACAAGAAGAGGATGTGCAATCAAGTACAGATAGGGTGGAAGAGGGGGAGGATAACGGGTTGGGCAGGGCAACATAACCCTCCTTATGTTTCTCTAACATAAAACCCTTTCATCAGGACAGTTGTGGTTACAGTCAAATTCCTTGAGCTGTATGTTTTTTTCCTGTAATTGAAAAAAAAAACATCAGAGGAAAAACTACTTTAAAACTTTCTTCATTTTCAAATTTTTTACCTTTCTTCAACTTCTTTTCCTTTTGAAAGTTAACTAGACCTATCCTTTTGGCGCAAAATGTACTAAAGGAGCTGAAGCAAAGGAAGCAATGAGGAGATGGAATGACAGAGTAACTGCACCATTGTCCATGTTTTCCCAGCACCACGACTGACCCCAGCATCCCTGGTATTTTGCAGATTTCCTGTCAAACTGAAACCTCTCGGTCAAATGGCTATAGGAATATGTAATTCATTATAGTTTAAAAAAAACATGGTTTATCAGAGTTTATCTCTTTGATTATTAGAATTTTCCCAGAACCAGACTTTTCTAGACGTAAAACAAATCACGAAAACCCAGATTTGTGGAAAGGAGCTGCCTTAATCGTTTCAGTAGATTGTTTTGGGGGGGGGATCTCAATGACATCAACACTGAGTAATTTTTGTGGGCCCTGAGGCCAGACCTCTGGTTTCCCCCCTGCAAACCCCAAACTTCACCAGATACTTGTGTAAATCAGAGTGAGTCATTCAGGGTAACGGGAAGCAAATGTATCGTTCCAACATCACAGGAATAGAGGCTGTCTGATCCGACTGAAGGAGACGCCGCTTTTGCACAGACAGCTTTGGTAATCGCTCAGATAGGCCCGTAAGTTTCAGATTCAAGCTCTGTGTGTGTGTGTGTGTGTGTGTGTGTGTGTGTGTGTGTGTGTGTGTGTGTGTGTG